AAAATTCCCTGGTCGGTTCGCATTCCGCCCACTCCTGAGTCAACATCTAGATTTTTTCTTATCTCATACAAATTCTCTAACTTGGAGGTTTTCCTACGACATCGAAGTAAATATGAGTCGTCAGAGGTCTTATAAGTCGACTCTAGGGCCTTGACGAGTCGACCTAAGGTCACGTTCGTATATCCAAGGCTCTCGGAATGTCTGCTCATCTTCTTGAGTGTAAGTCGACTTACGCTCAATCGACTTCCTAAAGTCGTCTTGGGACCGCTATCAGATCGATGGTGATCCTCAGATGCCCAATGGGCCAGGCCGACCTCGGAGACGTCGACTTGATGATGTCGTCAGTAGTATTTGTTTAGTTGAGTAACTAGCATTTGGACTGGACTATGATTATAGGGCTATATCATGTAGTCCCCCCCCCCCCAAAAAAAATTACTTTAAGCGACTTCGAGCTTAAGAGTAAATTTGGTAATTGGGCTTCCTTTGAATCTTACTACCTGATTCTCCCATGCCGTTGGTGTTACTCATGTGATGTCGATGAGATCTGTAAATCCCTTTATTGCTATTTTGATGATGATTCGCCTTGTCTTTTTCCTTACTTCGTCATGTCGACGATTCTTTTTATTTGGCCAGATCGTTTGTGGTTGAGTCCTACACTTGGGAATTTCCTGGAATGTGTTCACATTCCATTCTTGTTTTAATTTCATGTTCTTGTACTTAGGATGTGACTCGCCGCCTCAATTCTACTTTTGCCGCTTCGAATTCTGTGTCTCATCCTAACTGTTGATTTTCCCTTTAATCGTAGAGCTGGGGTTTCATCACCCACCCTATAAATATCCTTCATTTTTCTTCTCTCCCACTTTTTTACGATTCTCTCTCCTTGAGCTCTCAAGTTTCCGGCAACCAAGCTTTTCAATTTCTCCGGCTCACGCATCATCCGACAACCTTTCAGACTCTTCTCAGAACTCTTCACCTTGATCAACATGTGTAAGTTTCCTTAACTCTCTATTTCTGAAAGATTCTTTTGTTAGTTTTCTGGGTTTTTGACTTGGAATCTATGCATGTTCTTCGTGTTCTTGAGGATTTTCGAACGATTCTGGGCATATCGGTGTTAGATCTCAAATGTGTTCTTCCTACTTTAGAGTTGTGTTTGTGAGAGAGTCGACTTTATGGGCCATGGTTGGCTTTACCCTATTCGTTTGTCGACTAATGTTGACCTTAATGCTTTCTCTTACCTTTTACTAGCGATCCTCGTCCTCTGACGAGTTTACTATAGTCCCAAGACTTTTCTTGTTCACTGTCCCTTTAGCCCAGTCACTTTCTTCCGAGGTCGATCTTATGGTTAGGAACCTTCGTAAGTCGACGAGCTCTAGCGCTCCCCTCGATTTTTTGTACTGATCTTCATTTCTCAACTTTTTCTCGTAGATTTGGATCCGACTCTATTTTTGGCTCCATTTCTGGCTCTCTCGCTCATGAGATCGAAGATTATTCAAAATCCGACTCTGTTCAAATAGTCGGTTCTAAGCCGGCAGTTGAGCGGGAGATGTCTCCAACTTCTTCTGTGTCGACTTTTGGGATTGAACATGATGTATATCATCAAGCTCTTCTATTGGGTGATTTAATGCAGAATAAAGAAGACCCTCGTCGGGGAAGTAACTCTCCTTGTTTTAATTTAATTCCCCGAGGTATTCCCCTTAGGCTTCTAGACATTCTCGTGTACAAAACAAGTCTTGTATCAATAATAGCTCCTACTTACGAGCCTTGTAATGTAACCATAGTTTGTTCATTGGCTAAATTAACTGTTCTGAATCTTTTTTTTATGCCTCCGCAGCCGAAATCAAGGGATTTAGGTCGTTCAATGGTCTTCTCTCCGATTGGAAGTTGGTCGCACCTTCCTCTTCTGACGTCTTTTCTAGCCCCTTAAAGGTTGTTATATTTTTTCGTCGACCAAATAATGTTCGGCCTGCGTTTTCTTATCCAGCCAGAGTTTTGTTCATTAGTAACTTTTACAATGTCCCAATAAACCAGGTTTCGCCCAATTCCATTTGCATTATGATAGTCGTCATCATCATTATTCGCATAAAGTTCGGCCATTTCCTGCCCGAGTTTTTCTTCTATTGCTATAGCTATCGTTTCATAAAGGACGCCCACTGCTTGGGTCATCTTCGTGGTGTTACCTTCCTCGAGGACCTTTCCTCGAATGTCACTGCGGCCTGCTTCTGGCCAGTACCCTTTCACCAATGTATGGATAACCGAAAAGGTCAAACAAAATAAATATCCTCAGTCGAGCCAATTCGAAGCTATGCTCGAGGAGTTGAATAAGTGCACTTGGAGTGCCCATTTGTTGGTTAAGGACAAGGCTCTCCTTAATCATGTCGGTCTCTCGGTCGACGAGAGTATTCCTCGCATCGACGATCCTCGTAAGTTTGCATTTAGTAATTCTTATCGACTGATGTTATTCGTCTTTTGTTGTATGTTTTGCAAGTTATTGATCGCAATTTATTTGCTTGAACTATCTTACTGTGTTGTCTTTTAACTCTTTTTTTTAGTTAAAGCTTTGGCCCGCTTTAAGACCAAGAAGGCCAAGGGTGACAAGCCCAAACAGACCGCTCTTCCGCCGAAAACCCTTGACGGCTCCAGCTCCGGGTCGAAAGAAGCGGCAGTCGAGACGACTGCCGCTAAGAATTCAAAAGTGATCCTCCCGTCCATCACCTCGTCGCAGAAGGCCTTGGGTTCGAATTCCCGGAAGAGAGCCCAGGATAAGGCCAACTTTGTTTTGGTGCCCGAGTCCCTTAAGCACCAGAAGAGTCGGGACAAAGAGAAGTTGGTTGAGGCTCCCCGCTCCCCTGGTTCTCTCGAGACAGTGACCCTCGAGAGGCCTTCTAGACTCTGGGATCACCCCCATCCCCACGAAATCGCCAAGTACCTCGACTCCGTCATCCCTGCTGCCGACAAGGCTCGGGCCGACCGCGACCCCTATGATCGCGCTGGTTGTGCTCTCATGTGCTTCTCTCGGGTAATTACTCGAGTTTAACTTTAGTCGATTGTTTTTCTTATTCTCGTTTTTGTTTTAAACTGGTTTTTCTTAATTTTCCTTTTAGTTCATGGCATATGTGATGCCGACTCTCCTCGAGGAGCAGAGCTCCCCTGACGCCAACGTCCATGCCTTCAAGAAAAAATATGAGGATGTCGTCCGAGAGATCGAGAAGAAAGATGATGACCTGGCGGCGGCCAATGCTGTGATTGCCAAGCTCAAAACCGACAAGGCTGCCGCTCTTTCCAGAGTCGACTGGCTTCGGGCCAACCTTGCCAACGCCACTGAAGATAACTCGCCGAGAGGGTGATCAGAAGGGAGGAAGGACGTAAGTCTTTCCTCAAGTCTCCGATTGGCTCCGTCTTCCTCGACGCCTATCAAAAGGAGGTCGTCGGGGCATTCTGCAATTCCCCCGACTTCTGCGAAAAACAGTGCCCCGCGACCCTCCAGTACTTCTATTTTACGTTCGACGCATGGGAGGCGGTTGCGAAGGGCACTGCTCTCGAGGGGAAGGTCGACCGTGAAGCGCTCAAAGAATCGCTTCCTCTTCCAGACGGCTATCGCGGTGATGCATCACTTCCGACGATTACCAATGGTGGTCGGGGCTTGAGGCTCGGGCGATCCGTAAGGCTAAGTTGGTCACTCAGCCTGAGGTTTCTCCCACCCCACTAACCGGTCCGATCGATTTGGTCGGGCCAAGTGGGGCGGACTATGAGGAAGAAGATGAAGAGGTCGACGAGGAAATGGAGGTCGAGGAGCCGAGAGTAGGCCAGTGGTCGAGGGGACGGGTGAAAGGACTGAGGCGCTGGGTGATGAGGGGGACACGTGGGACCGAGCCTGTGGTCGAGAGGGTGAGGATGCCGAGCTTGCTGAAAATCAACTAGGGATTCATAGAAGAACTAGATGTTTTTCTTGATGGTTTCTTGTGTTACTTTTTTCTTTTCTTTGTCGTACTCAACCTATTTTCAGAACTGTAAAGGTTGAGACGGCCATGGATGTAATGAACTATCCTCTTAATATAATTCTCTTTTTTGGCTTGTCATTTCTGTTTATCGTCGATTCTCGTGGTTGGTTATGCCTTGATGATTTGATTTGATTTGATTGATTGATTTTTTTATTTTTAAGTTTCTCAACTCGCCTTGTATTTCTCCTCCCGACCTGGCTTGCGAGCTGGTCGAAGTCGAGCAACGACTTTTAACGGCTTCGTAGCTGATAAACAAGAAGTTTTTCAGCTTTTCTCCTCCCAACCCGGCTTGTGAGCTAGTCGAAGTCGAGCAACGACTTTTAACAGCTTCGTAGTTGGTAAACAAAAAATTTTCAACTCGTCTCCTCCCAACCCGGCTTGCGAGCTGGTCAAAGTCGAGCTACGATTTTAGTAGCTTCATAGCTGATTTTCTAAAATGTTTAGGGATGTAATCATTTGTATCATAGTTAGAATGGAAGATTATAATGTCGTAGCTGTTTTAAGTCGACTCTATAGCCGTGAGCTGCGTAGTTTAGCCAAGATTCCTCTCGAGGTACAACTTCATAGTCGTATTAGGCGACTTCGTGGTCGTAAGCTTCGTAGCTGAGTCGAGATTCTACTTGAGTACAACTTCGTAGTTGTCTGAGATCGACTTCGTAGTCGTAGGCTTCATAGCCTGATGGAGATTCCCCTCGAGTACAACTTCGTAGTTGTCTGAGATCGACTTCGTAGTCGTAGGATTCGTAGCCTGATCGAGATTTCACTCGAGTACAACTTCGTAGTTGTCTGAGATCGACTTCATAGTCGTTGAAGTTGGGCGGCTTCATAGCCGTTTTGAAAATTTTGATTTTTCAAGTAATCATAATAAGATCGACATGAAAATGTAAAATACACAATTGAAGCATAAAATTGGAAATTCATTGCATTACTGAATTTGATTCAAGCATTGTTCAGTACAAAAGAGTTCAAAATATTACCTTAAGCATAAAAGCGTTTGAGGTGGATCATGTGCCAAGATCGCGGCAACTGTCGTCCTTCGCCATCCTCGAGTTCATATGCCCCTCTCTCAAGCACTTTTGTGATGGTGTAGGGTCCTTCCCAGTTAGCCTAGAGTTTCGCGACATGTTAGAGAGCGTCTGCTCGTTTGAGGACGAGATCCCCCACTTGAAATCGTCTGGTTCAGACTATTTTGTCGAAGGCGGCACACATTTTCTGTTTGTAGTCTACTAATCGCACCCAAGCTTCTTCTCGCCCTTCTTTGATTAGGTCAAGGGCTTCTTCGCTCATCTCCTCATTTTCTTTTCCTCGTAAAATGTCGACACGTGGGAGTTCAAGCCGACTTGAATTGGCAAAAGTGCATCCATTCCATAGACCATATGAAATAGAGATTGACCCGTCGAGCTCCTTGGAGTCGTCCTGTAAGCCCACAAGACTGTTGTTAACTCGTCGACCCAGGCGCCCGACGCTTTCTCTAATCTCTTCTTCCTTTTGAAGCCAGAATGGATTTTTTTTGATACCTAATATAGTCACCTCGGCTTGGCCATTTGTCTGGGGGTGTGCGACCGAGGCAAATCTCTGTTTGATCCCTATGTCGAGACACCATGTTTGAATTTGCTTCCCTTGGAATTGGGTTCCGTTGTCTGAGATCAATACTTTTGGGATTCCAAATCGACAGCAAACATTATTGAACAGAAACTGTATCATCTTTTCTTCGGTGATCTTTGCCAAGGGTTCTGCTTCGACCCACTTGCTAAAGTAGTCAACTGCAACTACAAGAAATTTTCTCTGCCCCGTTCCCATTGGCAGTGGGCCTACTAAGTCGATTCCCCATTGAGCGAAAGGGATTGGAGTATTGATTGTCGTTATATATTCAGCTGGGATGTGGGTGATTTGCCCATGGCTTTGGCACTTTTCGCATTTCTGTACCAACTGCTCCGTCATTGTTCGAATTTTAGGACAATAGTAGCCTGCTCGTAAAGCTTTTCCAGCTAGAGCTCGATACCCTATGTGTGCTCCACAACACCCTTCGTGGATCTCCCTCAAGACTTGCATTCCTTCATCCTCGAAAACACATCGCAGGTGACGCCCGACCATCGACTTCTTATACAAGACCCCTTCGACTTCAAAGTATTTGCTCAAATATCGAGCGACTTTTTTTGCCTCATGCTTGTCTTCTGCGGGTACTCGTCCCCGCAAGAGCTCGCGGATCGACTTCCTTCAATCATCCTTCTCGTCGACCTCCATCATTTCACTCAACACACTCCCTTCTAGATGCATCATAGTAATGTGGCCTCTCATTTTTCCTTCATTGAACTCGCAATCCTCGCGAGCCAGTCGGCTCGCTTGTTCTCTTCCCGTGGGATTTGTGTTAACTTGGATTTTCCCAAACTGTGTATTAGGCTTTGAACCTCCTCGACGTATTTCCGCATTCTATCCTCCTTGATTTCACAATTTCCCAACACTTGTCTTACGACAAGCTGCGAGTCGGAATGTGCCGTGATTTCTGTCGCTTGTCCGCCCATGGCGAGTTGGATCCCTTTGATTAATGCTTCATATTCTGCCTCGTTATTCAAAGCCTTAAACCCCACCTGATGGCAAAGTCAAGTTGTTCGCCCTCAGGGATATGAGGACGACTCCTAATCCAGATCCTTTGGCCGCTGAGGATCCGTCGACGTGCATAATCCATTTCTTTTCTTCCTCCTTGGTACCTTCTTGAATAAAATCCGCCAAGGCTTGAGCTTTTATGGCTCGTCTGGGCTTATATTTGATGGAATATTCACTTAGCTCAACTGCCCACTTTACGAGTCGACCTGAAACAGTAGGTCGACCCAATGTTTCTCCCAGCTGGAAATTCGTCCTCGCCACTACCATATGATTCAGAAAATATGGCCTTAATTTTCTAGCTGTTATCACCAGTGTCAAAGCGGCTTTCTCGACTTCAGAGTATCTCGTCTCCGCACCGTGAGTACTCGACTGGTGTAGTAAATTGGCTGTTGGACACCTCCTTCTTCTCGCAATAACACTGAGCTTAATGATACTAAACCCATAGATATGTATAACACCAACTCGTCACCGGGCTCAGGTTTTGTCAATAAAGGTAGCTCGCCCAAAAACTCTTTCAATTTCTTGAATGCCATTTGTGCCTCGTCGCTCCATAAGAAAGTCAACTTCTTTTTGAGTAACTTGAAGAATGGAAGCTTTTTCTCTGCAGCTCGAGCAATGAATCTGCTTAGCCCCACAATCCTTCCCGTCAGGACCTGCACTTCTCTTATATTTCTTGGTGGGGCCATGTCGAGTATGGCTTTTACCTTGTCTTTGTTCATTTCAATTCCTTGTTCTGTGACGATATATCCCAAAAAATGACCTGCCTTTACTCCAAAGGCACATTTGCTTGGGTTCAACTTCATCCCAAACGTTCTAAGGGATTTGAATGTTTCCCTTAAATCGTCTGGGTGTGAAGTCGAAGACTTGCTTTTTACCAAAATGTCGTCCACATATACTTCAATATTTCACCGAATTTGGGATTTAAACATATGATTCATCAATCGTTGGTAGGTTGCTCCTACATTCTTGAGTCCAAAGGGCATGACAATGTAACAGTACTTCCCCTTGCTCGTCACAAAGCTCACTTTACTTTGGTCCTCGGGGGCCAAAGGGATCTGATGATACCCCTGAGATGCATCCATCATACTTAGCAATTCGCAACCAGCCGTGGAGTCGACTAGCTGATCAATTCTTGGCAAGGGGTAATGATCTTTGGGGCATGCCAAGTTTAAATCACGAAAGTCAATGCACATGTGCCACTTGTTTAGTGCCTTCCTCACCATCACAGTGTTGGATATCCATTCGGGGAATTGGATTTCTTTGATGACAGTGTCCTGCTCGCAGCAAACTTATCCACCTCGACTTCAATGGCTTTGTCGATTTCTGCCCCATGGTGCCTAAGTCGCTGTTTTACTGGCTTTCTGAGGGGGTCGACATTGAGTTTGTGTTCCATAATGCTGGGGTCGATCCCCGTCAACTCCTCAGGGGTAAAAGCAAATATATCCCTGAACTCCTTTAGTAATGCGATAAGTTGATCTCGCAGCTCGTCCTCCAGATCCTTCCCGACCTTAGTGGTCTGTTCCTTTGTTTCTCCAATTTGTATTTCCATTAACTCCACGTGTGGTTCAAAATCGCTACTCCTTGGCCTTTTCTCATTTGACATTGGTTTCTTCCCTTCCTTAATTTCGGTCTGCTGGTTAGTTTTCACCGCAATTTGATAACAAGTCCTCACACAGTTTTTGATCGCCTCGAGCTTCTCCAACTCGATCTCCGACTGGGAATTTCAGCTTCATGTGGTAAGTCGACACCACAACCTGAAATGCATTAAGCGGTGGCCTCCCCAGGATCACGTTGTAGGCCGACTCAACATCGACTACTACGAATCTTACCATTTTCACCTTTCGCAAGTCGCCTTCTCCTATGACGACAGCGAACATAGTCTATCCTAGGGGCGTGACCTCCAAACCATTGAAACCAAACATCAAGGTATGAAGGGGTGTGAGTTGTTGTCGAGCTTCATCCTCTTGAGCCAATCATAAAAGATCACATTCACTGAGCTCCCAGTGTCGACAAACACTCTCTGCACTTCATATCATGATACTTGTGCAGTTATCATTAATGCATCATTGTGAGGTCTCTCAACCTCTCCCACATCTGCTGGCCCAAATTTCATTACTGGACCATTTTCGTCGATTTGCTACACCTCTACTTTTCTATGGCGCCCTCGAGCATACGCCTTCCTTGCCCGATTCGAATCTCCATCAGTTGATCCACCAAATATCATGTGTATGACTCTCCTTTTCTGGGGAAGCTCTTTCTTATCAGGTGTTCTCTCCCTCTTGCGAGGGCTCCTGCTCCTTTCTCTCCTCCTGCTCGACTTCTCCTGATCCTTGTATATGAATTCTTTCAAGTGTCCTGCTTTGATCAGCCTCTCGATCTCGTCTTTAAGATGCCTGCATTCTTCAGTATTGTGCCCATAATCCTTATGAAATCGATAGTATAGATTACTTTTGGGTTTCGTTGGTCCATCCTTCCTCGTCTTGGGCCATCTGATGACATTGTCATGAATTTCCCTTTCTATCACCTCCAAAATTCGTGCTTGAGGGGCCGACAAAGGGGTGTATTGAGTCGGCCTCCATCCTCTAGATCGCCCCTACATGTCTGTTCTAGGGGATCCTCTTCTTTCTCCCGATGGGTTCACTTTCTTATCCTTCTTCTTGTCCCGGTGTTTGGTTTTTGCCTTTGCTGCCTGCAAGAAGTCGGCTTCCGCTTCCTAGACATTTATATATTTCACACAGCTGCCCAACACTTCATCCAACGTCTTACCAGGGTGTTTCGCCAGAGAGTTCTTGCACAGCCCTGGTAGAAACCCTCGATTCAATCCTCCTGCTTTGATCTCCTCCGATGCTCTGGGTACGTTGACACACGAACCCGTATATCTCGCCACATAGTCCTGCAATGACTCACCTTCTTTCTGTTGCAGGCACATTAAGGTTAAATACGATTTCTCCTGGGGCTTAACACTTGCGAATTGGTTCAGGAAGCTCGAACTGAATCCATCAATATCCTTGATGGCTCCCGATGATAATTGATGAAACTAATCTTGTGCAGATCCCCGCAAGGTCGTCAAGAAAGCTCGACATTGCACTGGGTCATTATAACAATGCAGCTCTGCCATATTCTCAAAACTCCTCATATGAAGAGACGGATCAGTCGACCCGCCATAACTTATGTTTAGATCACGAAAACCTTGCGGCAGGCGGCGTCTAGAATGTGTTGCGAGAACGGGTGTCCCCTTGAGCCTCCAGTTTTTCTTCCCTCGACTCGGGCCTGCAAATTGCAAACTTGGGCCAGCAACTGTTCCAGCGTCTCGTCTCTTGCTTGCAGGTTAACAGTCCTAATGGAGGATGCTTTCTCTTCTGCTCTCCTGATCTGCCTCTCATTGGACTGGGCCTGTTGTTCACGGTCATGGGATGGTTGCTCGATCCTAGGTTGTTCGACCCTAGGTTGCTCGACCTGCACTTGCTTGAGTTGGGCTGCCACCGCTTCCACAATCATCCTTTGCATCTCGCTCCTCGTCATGGTCACCGTTTGCTCCTCGACCTGGGGTGGTGGTCTCGCCCCTTGTTCCAACATCCCAGGTGGCTTTCCCAGGCTCAAAGTCGTTTCAGTCGATTCATGCATGTCAACTCCCGTGTTCGTGCCCTTCATGTGGCTAGATCCACCTTGTGTTAGCCCTGGAATCTTCACCCCAGGTGGTGTGATGGCTGTTTCTTCCTCAACACGCACTCCCGACGGCGCGTGTCCTCCAAACGGTGGGAAACCGAGCACTTGGAGTGGTGGTCTAAGGCCAGGAATCGACGACGACCGTTTGTCTGTCTATACTTCCCTGAAATCCTCACTCAAATTTCTCAACAATCCCTCCTTCTCCGCCTTGTCAAACAGATCGGAACTAGGTGCAAAAGTCTTACTTCCTTCAATAACTCCCCACTGACGGCGCCAATCTGATGGGTCTCCTCCTAGATCTGGAGTGAACCGGTAAAAATGAGTTTCGATCTATTTGAATCGCCTCCAAATCTTCCTCGAACCGCTGCAAACACCTACAAGAACTCAACACCAGAAGTGTTTCCGATGAGGAGCCTCCGACGCTCAAGTCAGTGAAAGTGATGAAGATGAGCTCTACTCAATAGGAGCAGCAGCTGAGAAATAGATAGATGGAATGAAAGTTATGGTTTGGAGTTACCTCAGATCCTTTGTATAAGAGTAGAATACTTACTGGAAATACCTAAAATACCCTGGCCGACTTACACGAAGTGTCCAAAATCCCTGGTCGTTTCGCATTCCGCCCACTCCCGAGTCAGCATTTAGATTCCTTCTTATCTCATACAGATTCTCTAACTTGGAGGTTTTCCTACGATATCGAAGTAAATATGAGTCGTCGGAGGTCTTATAAGTTGATTCCAGGGCCTTGACGAGTCGACCTAAGGTCGCGTTCGTATATCCAAGGCTCTCGGAATGTCTGCTCGTCTTCTTGAGTGTAAATCGACTTACGCTCAGTCGACTTCCTACAGTCGTCTTGGGACCACTATCAGATCGATGGTGATCTTCAGATGGCCGATGGGCCAGGTCGACCTCGGAG